TCGTGGCCGCGGGGCGTCTCCTACGGGCCGCCCAGCCCCGGGTCCCCCATGAAGCGCAGGATCTGCCGCGGGGAGAGCGAGGGCAGCACCGTGGCACCGCGGCCCTGCCTCCCATCGCAGCTCCTCTTCCTCCCGCTCCTTCACCCCCGGGGCAGGGATGGGGAAAAGGCCAGGATCACGGTGCCGATGGAGGAAGAACGGCCCGAGATGAGCCTGAAAGACGAGGGCAGCGCGGTGGCACCGCGGCCCTGCCTCCCATCGCAGCTCCTCTTCCTCCCACTCCTTCACCCCCGGGGCAGGGATGGGGAAAAGGCCAGGATCACGGTGCCGATGGAGGAAGAATGGCCCAAGATGAGCCTGAAAGAAGGAGCGGAGCTTCCCATGGAAGGGTACAGAAGGGATGGAGGGGACAGAGGAGATGAAGGCGATGGAGAGGATGAAGAGGATGAAGAGACAGAGAGGCAGAAGGATGGAGGTGTGGAGGGGACAGAGGAGATGGGGAGATGGAGAGGGAGAAGGACAAAGGCAATGGAGGAGATGAAGGTGATGGAGGGGATGAAGGGATGAAAAGATGGAGGGGCAGAAAGATGGAGGGGATGGAGGGACAGAGGAAAAATAGGGCTGAAGGGGCAGCACAAGGTGCAGAGGATGGTGAAGATGTAGGGGATGGGGGAATGCAGAGGACAGAGGGGACAGAGGGGTTGCAGAAGATGAAGAGATGGAGGGACGGACGGAAAGAAGGGATGGAGGGGAGGGGGAAAGTGAGGCAGAGGGGATGGAGAGGACAAAGGGATGAAGGGAACAGACACCACAGTGTCTGTCCCAGCGTGGTGGTGGTGGGCACCATCCCACTTACCAGCTTGAAAAGGCCGAGGGCCTCGTGGCAGAGCTCCTCGTCCAGCCGGGTCAGCGGGGCGGCCAGCGGGGCCGTGAGCATCCCGAACGCCGGTTCCTGCAGCGACACCGCGCACCCGTGGCTACCGGCGCCCGCGGCAGCCCCCG